CACTCAATCTTTATTAACTCCTTTCCATCACCGACCTCCCTCCAAAAAAAAAATTATTTACAGAAACTACAAATTATGAAGCCGATCGATAGCGACCGTACCATTACGTTGTTTTGACTGTCGGGCTGATCTGAGAGAAACCCCTACCTCAAGAACAACACGACACAACAGCGGTCCCTTCAGTGTCGCAGAGGAGCACTCTCAAAGTCAAAGAAAAAGGCAAAATTGGTCGGAAAAGGGCCTTTTCCGAAAGGCCAGCACTACGTACCACAAACAAATCTGTATAGCCACTTCCTGCATTAGCGATATGAATTCTGCCGATGAAGACCCATTCTGACCATTTTAATTTCACAAAGTAGCGAGCTGTAATAGACATCTCAATCACCCCCCCCCCCCTCCTCCCCCCCCCCCCCCCATAAAAAAAATTGAAAGATTTACATCATGATGCCAATACTTCAAGATCTGCCACTCTGACTAATAGAAATTTTGCTTTTAGATTGTGGGTGAAACGTAAGTGAAGTTTGTTAAAAAAATAGAAGCAGTTGACATGGATGACACTTGGTTATGTGGCAACTGCAAGATATGACGTCAGTGCAACTTGATTCAATGGGACTTAATATTTTTTTGCGAAAAAATGGAAAAACCAGACAAGATATCAAAAAGGAAATAAAAATACTTCTTCCAGTATTGTTATTGTATCCAATGCCACAGAAGTGACAATCATAAGTCAGACATATAAACATGTACTCACCATAACTGACTGTACCTACATGTACATTGCTCATTACTTATTCAATATTATAAAGGGGAAAGGGGTTCACATTTTCTCCTGAGAGTGCTGTTGCAGTTTTTGTGATCTCTTCATCTGTGCCAATAACCAGAGAAGGCAGGCAAGACGCCTTATGCAAAGATGCTTAAGGTATTAATTCAACAATGTGCATATGACCGTAAGGATATTGTAAGCAGTCCTGCGTGCAATGAGTCACAGGTGCATTTCCATGGGGTTTTTTTGCTGTCACTTTTTTTGGCGCCATGAAAAATCTTACAAATTCACAATTTATTTTGCTTAGGACTATTTTTAAGTCTTCTTCTTTATTGTAGATTGACGTTTTTGTACAAGAATCATTAAATTTTGTGGAGAGAGTCTCCGAAGAACAATGCTTGGTTTAAAACTGTTGTTTATTTAAACATCTTATTGTTTTTCAGAGTTTACCGTACAAAAAATGCTTATAGAAATGAATTTTCAAACGCTGCCACTCAATCTCATTCAAGACCTATTGTTTACGTGCACTTCTTTCAATAAAGTCACCAGTGTTCTAGCCAGGCATCAAATAGCGCTAGCACCCGCTACGCTTTCGGAAATAAGTGCTACGCTTAAATCGCGCCGCTACGCTACCGCTACGCTATAAATTTTGGTTGCGAAAAAAAAAAATCTGCTGTTTGTTCGTATACAAGCGCAGCGACTTTGAGCATTGCGCACTGGCCGTACGACACACGAAAAATAAACAACGATCCCACCGCACGTACCCCGTACGATACCCCTACCGTGATGCTGCGCCACACGCATTCGCCATGATACATGTAGCAATAAGCACGTGCTGTTTTGTGCTGCGTAGATACAGCGCTCCGTACGACGTACGTGTCACATGTCACGTACAGAGCGCTCTGTGGACCACACCATTTTGCGGTATCGGGTGTGCTTTCCTATAAAGGTAAATATTTACAAGCATTTCAACTGTTTTAAAATTATAAATAATACTTTTTATCAAGTCCGAAACATGTTACTGTTTAAAAATAAGTTCTTCACGTCGGAACATAATTTTCGTAAAGGATTTATTCGAGAAACGATGTCCAAAGAAAGGTTAAGCACCCCTACGATATCAATGGATCCGTCCACAAGATGGCCGCACGTGAAGAATTCTTCTCGAAGAATGTCGCTGTCGAAAATTTCAATTTTTGACTACACTACTCGTTGCTGATAATAACAGTTCGATAAGTTTGGTAGTAAAAACGGATCTGTTTGTTCTTAGGACAAAACCAATCAGCAAGTATTGCAACAAAGCAAGTTTTTTAGCGCTCCACGAATGCGTTGCTTTCTCAAATGCTGAGGGAAAATTTGGTCGCGTAGTTCGCCGGCGTAGCCGGTGTGGGCTGGCCCGCGCCCGCACGCCGGGCCGGCCGGGGCAGGCCGCGGCCGGGATAGGAAGCAATTCCCGGTGATTATTTCACATCGTCATTATCTACAATTATATTTTTTAACATAACAAAAATGAGATTTCTCATTCACATTGTGTTGTAGCATATTGAAATTGCAATCGCCGACAACTTTTTCTGTCTGGGACCTCCATGGTTTTACAATTTCTCTCCCTGCCGATCGGATGGTTTTATTTACAAATTTAAAATCGGAACTACTGCTACTACGGCAGCGCTACACAACACAAGGCTTCTTGAAATATGAACGCAAAATATGAAATGTTCATGCGATTTGTTCTCGCACTTAATTTTGACAAAGTAAATCCCAATTTTGAGGAACTACTAAAAATGGTTAAACATCAGAAAGCATCGATCTTGGAACAATTTATACAAGTTAACATAATCTAAAATTTGAAAACAGAAGAAACTTTACAGGAGCAAGAGTATCAATCATTGAAACAAATAAAACAAAATTTCTTATAATTTTAAACACTTCTGCTAAAAAAAAAAATCAGGGGAAAGTGGCAGGGAATCGCCTCAGATTGCACCACAGAGCATCTAGAGTCCAAAATTTTCCGGGGCCCTTAAGCGGGCCCCGGACCCCACGCCGTAAGGGCTTCGCGCTCCGCGCTCGCATTAGTTGTCGAACCAAAATTACCCCTACGCTATAATTTCACCCTGGCTAGAACCCTGAAAGTCACGATAGTTTTGAAACAGCTGACCAATTTTTGCAAAGTCTCACACAGTTATAGAGCACTGTGTGTGCAATTTAATCGCTTTTCAAGGAAGGGGAAACAAAAAAAAAGACATCAAGTTGTGGACCAACAGGGGAGACAGAAATCGGATCTTGGATCAGAATCAAGTACCCGTTGAGTGAGCCGATGATCTAGAAAGATATAGGCCCGTTGATTCCCTGTCTCTTTGCTCAGAGATGTGAGGAGCTTGTTTGTTACTAGGGAGTGCGTGTGCGGCGTTAGGGCAGGGCTGTGCGACGGCCTGACGACTGTGTTTGGATTCCCACCACTGGACAGATGCTATCAGCACCATTCGCGAAAGCAACGGGATCTCGTTTGGTTTCTCGCCACTCATCGGGACCGGCTTAACGAATTTGTCTCACGTCTTCAGCTCTTACTTTTGGTTTCATCAAAAAGGAGGTTCTCAGTTTCCGGCCCCGAGTTGGCAATGCGAAGACTTTGTTAACTGATTGGATCAAGAGGAATGTGGGCGATGATAGGGATGCAATACCTTCAACAATATAATGAATTAAGAGAGATTTCTGGGGCACGTTTTTCTGTTAACGGAGCTATCCCCCGGCCGTGAAACTTTTCAAAATGCCGTGCATTCTTTCAGCACCGTACATTAGACGTTTAACAAGAGATTGATTGAATTAAGAGCAGCGTGGGCAACGTAGTTCATGAAAAACTTACGACCCACAGATTGCGGATTTTGTAGGGCACATTTAGTATTGACGTCCATGTATATGTACATACAAATAGCCGAATTATCCGGTAACCCAGATTTGTTTCAACCGGTGTGGTGCATTTCGGATAAATCTACATTCTTTCAGCGGGAAACATTATAAGATTTATCAACAGGCTGATTGGATTATGACATGGGAGGGGGTACAGTGGGGATGTTCATTGAGATTCCACTCACAAGGCACAATTTCCAACAATTTGATTTTGGAAGAGTGCTTTTCTAAAGTGGTATTATCCGCGACCCAGATACAAAGCACCGTTTTGTGACTGATCCACGGAGACACTCTTTCAAGGGCAAACAGTACAACTACATGAATGGTTCATTTTTCCATTCAAGGCTGAAAGGGGGGACACAGAAGACATGCTCTTTGAAAGAACTGGGTCAAGTCTATTGACAGTTGAAATTGGGGCTGGTGGAAATATTGAAAGCGATCTTCGTAAACAGCCTTTAAGTATGAAAACGGGCACGTCAAATATTTTGGAACTATGTTACACCTACTGAAGAATGGACTCTGTGCATAAACATATAGTTGGTGCTTATAGTCACAACGCACGAGCGCTGGGAGGGACACACTAAATTCACACACAAATTCGGGTGCATATGGCACGAAGTACGCACGATTAATTCCATTCCGAATGTGCACAAACGCATGGCGCAGCGTGAATGCCGGCTTCATCGGCAACGCGCTCTAATGTTCCTCCCACTGGTCTCCCCCAACTTTCTCATTGTGGCCACTGAGGGGGTACTCAGTGCACACAGTCTATAGCTGTGTAAATGCACAATGTATTTCTGAAAAAAGGTTCTTACATTATCCTTGTTGTGGTCAGGAATATCTACCGAGCTTCAAATGAGAACTTTTTCAGCAAGTCTGGACAATCACTCTGCCCAAGGCACAAAGTCTCTAAGGTGGCTTTAACCTGTTCTAACCCCAGAATTGCCAGAAATAAGACGATCCGTTTTGGACAGACTTGAGGTTATTGGATCCACACACTTGGCAAAGGCTTCACATGTTTATTCTCGTTGATTGCCTGCGGGGGTGTTTTATAAAACAGCAACGCGGGAATTTGTAGAAAGGTTCAACGGAGCACAATCTCATCTCTTTTGTTTCATGTTCAGGTCCTTTTTCGTGAAAGAACTCACATTTGATAATCTTGTCGCAAATGAAAGAATTTGATAAAATCTTGGGATAGGATAAAAATTCCTACCCTGGGAACAACCATTAATGTGAACTTTAATGTTACCTGTCTAAACTGGAGGATATAAAGTTGGCATCTTCCCCACACTTGGGAGGGGGGGGGGGGAGAGAAAAGAAATGGTGCTGTTCTTACCTTCAGCTGTTTGGTCTTGTCCTTCATGGTCTGCTGGTAGATTTGCAGTTGCTCTGCCACCTCGGGACCAGGCTGCCTGGCCAAAATGTGTTTCAGTTCAATGTACAGCTTCTCTTTTTCCTGTTTTTAGGGAGCGTAAAAAATACATAAAACTTAAGATGAAAATTGACACAAACTGGAAATAATTAGAAAAGTCTTTCTTGATCAAGCATCTATGAAATGGTTACTGAGTACTTGCCACACCTTAAATGTTATTCTGACCAAAAAACCCATGTTCTGAAATTGTTTGTTCGAAGTGGTTATCAAGAGCATCACTAACTCTTCAGTTACAAAAAGGTTTGGAGCTTTGAAAAAAACCAAGACCACAAACGACATAGCCAGTGCTAGCCAGACTACATACATGTAGCTTACTGCATGTAGCTACCCAACTGGAACAAAAGGTTTTTACCTTTGACACAAAAATGAAAACACTTTTAAGGGACAACGTTAAGGCTACTTTGTCCAGAAATGGATTGAAAAAAAATCGATTGGGCTGTCTTCAAAGCTGGAGAAAGCTTCCGGTCATTCTTTGCACTCTCCTATCCCTACCCTCCTGTGTGAACATTTTAAGACCACTTAAACTTCACATCCCGACATCTTTTTTTTTTTTTGATGTACCGTAAATAGAACTTTCACGACATAAAATGTTTGTCCCGAGTATGTTATTGACTGCTATTGGCTAAAACCCAAAATCCCAGATGGCTACTTGATTTCATCTTTATCATTTGCCGGACTTGAAACCAGCTTAATGGAACTTTAAAATGCAAATACAGTCAAGAAGTCAACTTGCTAAAAAGTGCTGGAAGTAGGCATGATATAACAGCCCTGAATTCCTTTAACTGGAACAAATCTACAATCTGGAAATCTACTTATAGTCTCTCGTGGGGTCACTTGTCCGAAATATGGTACTTTGGCAAATAGATAGGAGGATATATGATACACACAGACAGATCAGTCGGCATCCCGCAATGTGTGCATTCAATTCCGGCGCAACATTTCTAGCATCCTTCTTTCTGTTGACTCAAGTGGAATATATGATGGAAATCTGTCCTGCGGGGGAAACACGGAACTGGACAAATGTACTTTTGAAAATGCGTCCGCTTAGAAACTAGGGTTTTTTTTTAAGACAAAAACGGGCAATGCTCTTGCAAACAACTTAACAGAGAGAAAGTGCAATGGTGGGCGACCAGATCCATAAATTGACAACGCTGTATTACTACTAACAAACTTTGCAGGACTTGACCCCTAACACATTATCACCAGCTCCAATTTTTTCCCCAACTCCTGCGATTCAGTGCTCAACAGATCTGCCCGCTCAGCAAACTCAGCTAAACGCAGACCTACACGTACATGTAGACCAGGCAAATCTCCAGCCCCTCAGGTTCATTGCTGGTTCACACTTCCACGAATGCCATTGCACAGCAAACTTGACGTTATGAAGCATTTGCTGAGACATTCACCGGAGTGGAAATGTGTTCGAGATTTTGCAAATTCGCCACGCAAAAACTTGACGTGACGTCACAACTTCCCAATTCCATTCGCTTCATGTGATTCTGCCTGAGCAGCTGAGCAAGTTGTATCGGCATAGCTCCAGCAATTATTCAGATAATCTCACTTTAAGAAAGAAATCCATCAACCTCTGCAATTGTGCATTCAACAAGTCCACATGTTTAGAAAGCTCATCTCACAACACCAACCTGTATCAACAGCTCTGCCAATTCTACACTCAGCAAATTTGCATGCTTAGCAAGTAATCTACAAGCTCCTGCAATTCTGAACTCATAATCTGCAGGCATATTACAGACACTTGTCATGCAAGCGTCTATTCCATAGACTACCCCCGCCCCTCCTCCACTCCCAACCAGCCACACACCCAACTGCCCCACCCCACCCTGCCCAAGACAACCCCAAGAGGAAAGGGATGGAGGGGAGATATGTTAGGGAGGGGAAGAGAGAATTGTGACTGCTCATTGCAGAGGTGGAGTAGATGGTGGCAGAAGTGGGATATGTGGTGTTAAGGGTGGGAAAGGTGGTGGCAGGGGTGGGATGTGCATTGGCAGGAGTGAGACATGTGGTGGGACAGGTGCGGTAGAAGTGGGTTAGGTGGTGGCAGGATGGTGATCAGAGTGGGTAAAGTGGTAACAGGAGTGGGATTGACTGAGGCAGAAGGATAGGTGTTTTTTTTTCTTCGCCTAGCGATTTTCAGCAAAACACTGACCTGTATCAGAAGCTCCTTCTCCACCACCTCCTCTGTCTTCTGAATCAGGCGCCGCTGCAGCGTCTGTATCTTCTGGATCATCTCGTAGGTGCTGGGGTCCGAGCCTTCCAGCTTGCGCCAGCGGTGGATGTTCATGGGGTTCTCCAGTTCTTCCTCCAGTGCCTTGCAGCGGGTCCGCTCCCGCAACAGCTCACGCTGCAGGTGGTAGACTTCCCGTCTTGACAAGGGGAAGACATCGAAATAGGGATTAAAATCATGTTGGAGTGATTTTGTTGTTTTCTTTTAATGCATATTCGCCATGAACAAGTCTATTATTTAGCCAGCTATCTTGGGAGACTCTGGGTCAAAATAGGTTCTTGTTCTTCCTCAGTAAAAATAACATTTGAAAGTGTGAGGCCAAATTTAGAATATTTCCATTGAGATTGGACAATGGAATCCGTCACTTGCTTACAAAGAGGGAGTTGGGGGCGCATGGGAGGGCAGCGAACACATTGCACATTGCCACCTACATGCCAGACCTCACACGAAGACCTGCTCATCCAAAATAAAATAAGTTGTACATACTTCGGGCCACACCCTGGCAAACCAGCAAACTAAAACCAGATGTGTCTCTCCTATGTAATGCGGGTGTCTGTTTTGTCATAGTATAACGATCCAAATCCAGATCTAGATCCAGATCCTACTCGTTTACTTTTTTAAATGGTTCCGGAGTCAGAGATAAAGCCCAAGCCAGAACCAGGCCCAGGTTTGGGAACTGACCAACATGCTTTTTACTCCTCTTACCTCAAATCATCCACGTTGGCCACACTCTTGTTCAGGATGTTCTTCTCCCGTCGGAGTTTCTTGATCTCCAGCTTGAGCAGACGGACGTCCTCCAGTCGCTGGCGGTACTGCATCTCTCCTTTGGCCAGGGTGGACTGCTGGATCTTGATCTTCTCATAGAGGAGGGCCAGCTCGTCATTGCGCCGCACCAGCTGGGTGCCAAGGATATCACGCTCGCTGATCACCTAAGAAGTTGAAGGGGAAATGTAAAGAGAGGCTTGAACATTTCAAATTTGCTTTTTGAGAAGTTCTTTTATTTTGAAGCAACAACATTTGAAGGGCGGGTGGGGGCGTTTGAAGCAAGAAATCTGCTCAAAAATAAGGATGCGCATAGTTTCAGCTCTGTGGATACATAAAAAAAAACAGAGAAAAACTATGCACAGATTTTTGGGTTTTTTTAACTCGATTTCGTTGCTGACACACACAAGAAAATGTGCTTGTGGACACCATATTTTGAAAACCACCTTCAATGTTCTTCCAAACGATACAATTTCAGGCGGAATTATTTCACAGAGTGGTTGACACCAGTCCCATCTTCACTTTTCCCGTAGGTGTTTTTCCAGGTACAGGTAATTGCAAATTATCCTTTTAAGATGCTTTGTATGGTATGACTTGTCTGCTATTTTTTTAGGTTCATCAAGCAAAATAGAATCCTTTTCTAAATTGCTATTTTTTTGCAATGCAAAAGGTATTTTCTTTTGAATGAGACATTGACTAAAAATACTGGCTTTGAAGTTTTAACTTTTGATCAATTACTGAATGGAATTTCAAATAAAAAAACAACTAAACTATTCAATGGTCACAAATTTTTAATAAAAGTCTTCTCAACAAAAGCTGAATCTTTATAGGTACATGTACATGTAGTTTGGGCTTTTATCCACATTTATGAGCTATATTACGAGTACATGTACCACTCAACACAGCTTGCTTTATGCCAGAAACTGCACATGTACTTTTGCATTTCCCCCTTTATTTTGGCAGACTTTTTCCATAATTCTGGACTTGTAGAATAAAAACAAAAAAATTATGTTGATATCTATGCTATGGAAGAGCTTTATGGAGACTTGAAAAAAAAAAAAATCAATGTTCGAACGAGAGAAAGTATTCTTCACCGAAAGGTCATACACTTCCATTACTGCATCCCACGGTACAGTGCGACAAAGACTAAGAGTACATCCAGAATGCGTCTCTTCTAAATCAAAATTTCAGCAAAAGCATATTCAAAAGTTATTGACAACAGCACGAACAGACAGAGATGTAAGAAATACTCTGCAGCATGGAAATGGGGCACAAGGGGGCATGCATGATCTCAGTGCAATACAGTCACTCGATACGAGAAATGAAACCACTTCGAGTAGTCGGCATGTATATTCAGATCTCGATCGCCTTCACGCTATCGTCCTCGGCTGCTCTCACAAGTCAAATATCAATGAACTCAGAGACAAGATTGCGTATTTGCTTAACTCTCAGTTTCGGATTCATCCCCCCTCCCCCTGTCACTCAGATGCAGTCGCTTGATAACCAAAAAAAAAAAAAATTGGACTCCGGTCCTGTTTGTTTTCACAGCACTCTCGCCATTCGTTGGGGTTGGTCAGATGTCATTTTACTCGTGAGCAACGAGCAGGGATGTCCTGTTGATTCAAGATCTTTTAGAAGCGCAGTCTACATACAGGTATTCGATCCAACCAAAATAATGCTGCAGGCTGCTGTACAGTCATATCAACCACTGTTACATGTAGGTAAGGAATACTGAAATATACGTGCAGTTCTTTCAGCTGAAATATTCACTAGCACAATACACTCAGTAATAAAAAAAAAAGTACAGTAAAATTTGAAGGCTACGAAGAAAGGGAATTTTTTCACAAAGTATTGTAACAACACTTCAAGTCAATTGATGAAATGAAACCTTATATCAAGAAATGATCAGGTTCTATTTATTCAGAGACTATGTAAGAGGTAGATCCAAAGCAGTGCCATGGTACCTCTCTCACCATGACAACTATTATGCATTCAAGTGTCACTTCAGAAAGTCTTTCCCAGAAACCTGTGGAAAGTACCGGAAGGGGGCAAACTACGTAAATGTAACTGAAGAAAGACGTGTCGCCAGCGTTTTCGGATGACGTGCGTCAACCAAACTAACATGAGGCTTGGAAGTTGATAATGGTAGATTTTAAGACAAGTTGTCTTAAAACTGTACATTTTATCTGACATTTGGGTAAAATACCCTATACCCTAGGTCCTCAGCTATACCTTAGACTGATGGGTCTCCTATACCCAAGGTCCTTCCTCTACTGAGACTGCTACCCACTTCACTGGGTACACCAAGCTTGCTCTGGGATCCTAGCTACTTGGCATCCACACAGGATGCAACTTCACACTTCACCGATTTCGCTTTAGCTACTTACATGTAAGTGTTTACTTGCTTACAGTTTAGGCACTCTCCTGAAGACGGTCACAGCATACTGATCGGAACATCGAGTTTATACCTCTGGTTCTTTTCAGAACCATTCTCTTAGTTGAGAAATTATTCACACATACATGTGTAGTATTTTCGCAAACCTTCCCCCGGAAAAACCAACAGCCTTTTCAAAGTTTTCTAGGAGCAACTCATCCTGTGCACAACCTGTCAAGGCTTTGAACGGACTTTTTTTTGGGTGATGCCACGCCGAGCCGCACATCAAAGTACAGTACCTGCAATGTGTTCTCTCGGCTGGCTGAAGTGCTGTTCAGAGATTTAATTATCCATTCCAAAAAAACAGATCCATATCGGGTGCGCGCTGCGCCGGCACTTTGGCCCCGGAACCGGCAACTCCCTAGCATGTGGCTAAATTTCTGTTGTTTATAAGCTCCGAAACACGGCTCGGTATTAAGGGTCGCGCTTACGCATAACTGTAGCATCAATCAGCCGTACTTGTGGGTAATTTAAGCCAATCCTGCATTTTGGCACTCTTTTTTTTCTTTTCTTTACTAAGAGTAATGTAACTAGTATACAGGGGTGAACCTGATTGAAGTGCAAACGCTGACGCCTCGCTTGGACAAAATTCTCGTTAAATGCGGCGGAAATGACAATTAATGCCACTGCAAGGTATCAACAATCCTTTTTTAACCGAACACCTTACGCATGTACGGCTCCAGCGTATCCACCAAATAATAACAATGAACCACTGCTTAAAAACAACGATCCAATTCTCCTCGCAAAATTGTCATTATAGTTTGCATGAAAGCTTAAATATAGGCACATGTACATTGTACAATGTCTAGATTTGTCTTGTACCTTTTTGTGTGCAGTAGTATTTATTTGTTTCAAGACGGCAAATTTCAGTGTACATGTACATACTCAAGTTAACTGTATATATATACCTCCCTTAAATCTCTTGTCAAACGCACCGGCGATTTCATCTGTAAACCTAATTGTGGAAATTCATGTGCCTTTGGTTTGCAAGCACTGGGAATGTTTCACATGACTAGGAAGAAAGTGCAAGTTCCTGCAGCAGACATTAGGAGTGGGCAGGTTTTTTTTTATTTGTTATTTTTTATCTCTTTTCAAGAAAGTACACTGTTCGGGCACTGTACATTTCATTGATGAGTTAGTAAGACAGTCGGATACAACCTTCATTCAATGCAATTGTCTGAAAGCGACAGTGAAGATTTAATTAAAGTGGATTTTTCACGATTTGAGAGGAGTCTTTTTTGCGTGTCCCAAATCCATTATACATTTCTCATATTTTTTTCTTTTTTTGGGGGGGGGGAGGAGGGGGAAGATAGGAGGATTCGTCTGTTTAATTTTTTTACATGTAACTATTTTTTTTTTTTTTTAACATTTGTTAAGTTTTTTTCACACATTGTTCTGACTTTGCTCTGGCTAAACTACCGTATTTCATAGAGATGGAACTTCATTTTGTGGCTAATTTAACAACTTTGTTCATGCATATTATAGGAAACATACAGACAATTAGGATTTCATATCATTGGAGATATTCAGAGTTTCCAGGTCATCGGCATTGTCTATTTTCACTGAGTCTCTCCCAGTAAAGTGTCTATATGCTCTCACAAAATGAGGGTTCAGTCACAAACTGGACAAAAAAGACCTTTTTTAATTGTTCATATATGAGTGTTGCATGCAACACTTATAATGTCTAGTTCAACTGATGTTACATGTACATCTTCCAAAAGTTGAAGAAAAACACATGTTCTGGTAATTTTAAGGAGTTACAACGATGTTAAAAGATTAATTTCAAGGCATTTTCCCTCTCTTATTGGGTCAACAACTTTCACATCACACAAAATATTATTACTCATTATTTCAGTGTTTTTCATTTGTCACAAAAGCCACTGTTATCAGACAAAATGTTGAGAAACTGTGAGCTTATTTCAATGGCAGGCGCGATAGGTGAAAGGTACATGCACGCATGTCTTTTGTGTGATAAAGAATCCTTGTTCGTACAATGGGAAAAACATTTTTTCCGGATATCTCATTAGATGCGCCACTGAAACTCCCAAGGGGTAAAAATCATGCGTCCAATATAAAAGTCCACAACTATTTCCCGTACGTACCAGAGCCAAAACATGTTCAATTCGGTCGAACACTGACGACAATGTTTTTACAGCACGGTAATGAAAAAGAAATCGGCCCGGGAAAATCGATTTCTTGCACTCCAACCAACCAATCTCCGTTCTCAGACGCAAACAACTCGCAAATACTCTAGCTCATTGTTTGGAATGTCATCCGAGCCACCCGAGCGACAAAACAAGGGTAGTAAGAAGGGAAAAAAAAGATGATGCTCTCTGGGCCAGCCGTGGTACGTTGCTGAGTGAGCTGAGAAACGGAATGTCGTTAATGCTCTTCTCGGAGATGGGCCTGGAGTGCTCAAGATAATTGTTTCTGGGTTGTGGAACAAGTCATCAATTTAACATTGGATCCTGTGAGGATGCGGCCTGATCTGTATTAGATACACACTCAACTCTTCAAAAATATTGCATTGATGACAACAAAACATGAAATTCTAGAAAGGATGAGCCAGCGATAAGTGTTTTTTAATTCAGGATCTTTGCCCTTAAAGCTGTATCATCCATACTGACATCAATCAGCTGAAAGGATTTTATCTTTTAGGAAGATGCATACATTCTAAGACAATGCGTTCAGTTCTGTATATAATCAGCGAGATATCTGATGTTTGCATTCAGA